GACAGGTGTCTTTTATACTGATAACAAGTTCAAACAGGTGCCATTAATACAGGTAACGAGTGGAGGACAGAGGAGCCTCTTAAAGAAGAAGTTACAGGTCTGTGAGAGCCAGAAATGTTGCTTGTTTGTAGGTGACCAAATACTTATTTTCCACCATAATTTGCAAATAAATTCATAAAAAATCCTACAATGTGATTTTCTGGAGAAAAAAATTCTCAATTTGTCTGTCATAGTTGACGTGTACCTATGATGAAAATTACAGGCCTCTCTCATCTTTTTAAGTGGGAGAACTTGCACAATTGGTGGCTGACTAAATACTTTTTCTCCCCACTGTACCCTGCCAGGCAGGCTCAGATTATTGAGGGGACGGTGCTGCTTTAGTGGGTCTCTGACCGCGTTCACCTTTCTGTCATGGCTGCGTAGGCTACTTGCAGTAGGCCTATAAAACGAATAAGAACTTCTACTTAGTGGGTGGGTCGCTGAGGTGACTCTAGGATATAGGGTTGGCACCGTTCGATCATGATAGGAAAAAAATAAACAAACAATATATTTTAATTTTTAAATGTATATCCCATATCTGCGCAAAAGTGAAGACTCGCGCTGTCACAACTCCTGCTCGCAGACACACATGGGCTCTGGCATTTGCAACCATTTTCCTTACTCATTCACTTAACTCATCACACTTTTCCAATCACAAAAAACACACAGGCACCCCATCTTCCTACACACCCGCACTCCACTCACATATACACCCTTACATACCCACATACTGTGCCTTTTATGTCCTCTGTTTGTCGTGTTTTTATTTCTACCTTGTTGATTCCTGCCTAATTTCAGGCTTTGGGTACTTTTGTGTTCCAGTTCCTTGTATTTCGGGATTTATTATTTCATGGACCATTTTTTTATCTATTTATAAATACTATACATAAAAAAATAGAATACCAATAATTATTTTGTTGTATTTTATTATTTCATTTTATTTTTTTTACAATCCCTCCAAGTATTTATTTTTGTTGGCTCTGATATTTTCAATTCCTACCAGTGCCATGCAGGTACCATGGGACCATTAGGCTGCTGGGTGGTTGGTATTCTGGAGGGGGTTCAACCTCTGGGCTTTCTGGAGCACTTGGTGAGTCACAACCCATGGCAAATGGAAGTGGGCAGAATATTAATTGAGAAAAGAAAACCCAGAGTTTAACCTTGACCTCGGTCTCAACCTCCCGGCCCACATGCCAGTAACTACAGTAGGAGCATGTGGAATGGATAAACGTCAGACAGAGGGAATATGGAGGGAGGTTCACTCGGAGAGAGAGGTGGACGACAACTTCATCAACGTTTACTTACACTCATTGTAGCTCTCTGGAGTCATGGCCTTTTTCTCCTAAAATCGTTCTCCCCTTCCTGTCCCAGCCCCCCTGCTTCCCAGTGTGCCACCAGGCCCCAGTGCCTGTGGCATGTAATTGACTTTTCTCCCTGCGCTGCTCTGGAGGAGCGGGTGGAAGGGTGGCTCACGCCACACTGGAGGTGACCCATTTCCCTGGGGCATTCAGCAGCCCTCCTAATCAGTCATCCTCTGGGGCCGCCTCATTCAATGCAATTAGAGCGCTGGAGCAAGCTCATAAATCAAGCTAGCAGAAAGGGAGAGATAGAATCTATATAGAAAGAACCAAGGGGGAGATAAGGAAGAGGGAGAGATAAGAGATATAGATATGGAGTATAATTATATTAGATATATAGGATATTGTATATATATATAAATATGATATATCAATCTAATAAGTAGTATATCTATCCTATCTACCTATATGTATAGATAAATTTAATTTTATCATACTCTCATATTCTCTATAAATTTTCTTTGGTATTATTTTCTATATGTCTCTATCTATATAATTTTCTATCTCGGTTATCTTTTACTCTGTCATTCTATCTCCATTTCTCTATCAGGTTATTCTTTCTATCATATCTATTCACCTTTCTCTATATGGTTCTCATCTCTATTCTATCTCTTTATATTTAGGTATCTTATCTCATCTCTCTCTATCTCCTTTCTCTATCGGTATCTCTCTATTTCTCTCTTCTCTATCTCCCTTTTATCTATCGGTTCTATTTCTCTCTGTCTCTCTCTCTCACTTTATCTCTATCGGTTATCTATCTTATATCACTCTCTATACAATTTTATCTCTCGGTCTCTCTTTCTCTCTGTTCTCTCTTTCCTTTCTCTCTCTCTCCCTTTCTCTCTCTCGGTTCTCTTTCTATCTCTCTCTCATTCTCTACCTTCGGTCTCTCTCTCTCTCCCTTTCTCTCTCTCGGTCTCTCTTTCTCTCTGTCTCTCTCTCCCTTTCTCTCTCTCGGTCTCTCTTTCTCTCTGTCTCTCTCTCTCCCTTTCTCTCTCTCGGTCTCTCTTTCTCTCTCTCTCTCTCTCTCTCCCTTTCTCTCTCTCGGTCTCTCTTTCTCTCTGTCTCTCTCTCTCCCTTTCTCTCTCTCGGTCTCTCTTTCTCTCTGTCTCTCTCTCTCCCTTTCTCTCTCTCTGTCTCTCTTTCTCTCTGTCTCTCTCTTTGAGAACTCTATCAATAGACAGGCAGGCAGGCATGCTCAGTAATGGTGGAAAAGAAGACCGCTAGGGCTTTAGTTAAACCCTTCCTTTAGCTCTAGTCCTAAGCGCCTCTCTTTAATTCCTCCCCCTTTCCTCCCTCCCTCCCAGACAGACAGACAGACAGACAGACAGAGATCGTAAAGCAGGTAGGAGAAGGTCCTCTTGGGAAGGATTGACAGGGATGGATAGATTGAAGGAAACACGTATGGGAGGGAGGGAGAGCTAGAGGGAGGGACTGAGGGAGTGTCTTCTAAACAAAGCTGCTTGTGAAATCCTCAGAGTGAAACCTTTTTTTGCACATAATCACGTGTTTCCCTACATACAGAGCTACAGTATGATGCTTCCTAATTAAGGTCAATATTGTTGTCTGGAGTGGAAACTCCTGTGCCTCCACACCAATACAGGACTGAGGGAGGAGGAGCATCACACCACCTTCCAACATCATGGAGCTCCACTGGCTGCTTTTCCATTTGATTGATTTCACATTTAGATATACCAGAGGACACATTCATTTAGGTCAGGGATGGGCAACTGGCTGGTTGGGTGGTTGCCTTTTGAAGGCCCTCGGATCAATAGTAGAATACGCAAGGTGCAATTTCGAAATTTGGTTGTGCATCAACAGTTTTTCTCTTATGTCAGTCGCTGATAGTCACTCAATTAACCCATGTCAGCTAAAATGTTTTAGATTGGTAAATTAGTTTAGCGGCCAGCTATCTAATCTTGTAGTAGGCCTAATCATGGTTGAATTACCGACTGGGGGCCCCCATTGATTTTGTTAGTCACTCTCACTCAGATATCATATTGAAAACTGGAAAGATGTCTCTCCACCCTATAACAAAATGTGTAGAATTGCAGGAAATTAACAAAAAAAATGTATCTCCGCTGTCGAGGGGGGTTGTTAAAATATTTTGCTTGCAAGGTGGGGCGGGTATGGATGTGGGTACACAGACCCGCGAGCCACTGCGGCCCCTAATTATGAGTTCAGCCATTTTTTGTGGCCTCCACCCAATCAAAGTTGCCCATCCCTGATTTAGGTGATGTTGTCAGACCAGCAGGCATGATTGAATGCATAGGCTGGGTAGAACGTCTGTTCACGAGCCATTCTAGTGTGCTATCTTTAGAACGTTAGAGTTCACTATTTGGCACAGCTGGGATGACGTGGCATTGAACGCACTCTTTCTGTCATGCCAATTGAATGTCCTTGAAATGATTGAAATAGAAATCCAAGTGATTGATAAACATTACTTCTAAGAATTGTAACAAAAAATATCTGTAAAACAAATGGATAGAATTATGGAATGGCAACACTGCTTCCTCTCCCTCTTGTGGCTTGCTTTTCTATACAGTAGAGGCTTCTTCATGCATGTCGGTCAGAGGGTAACCATGTAATCAATGGAATAAAAATGATGCACTTGCTGTGAAGGTTAAGAAGGGCAATGGAGTGTTGTTCTCCTCCTGATCGTGCACCACATCCCACCTTTTCTTCTGTCTCGCTCTCTTCCACGCCTTCTCTCACTCTCTTCCCGCTCTTCCTCTAACTCCCTCCCCTTCACTACGCTTTTCCCTCCCCTCTCTGCTTCCCTCGCTCCTCTCTCTCTTTCCAGCTACGAAAAAGTCATAGCTGTATCGAAGTGCTGTGTTTTCAGGGAATCGCCACCGATCTCACTCTCTATCCTCCTGCTCTCTTCCTGCACCCCCCCCCCCCCCCCCCCCCCCCCATGTCCAATCCCTTTCTCTGTCTCTCACCTCATTCACTCTCCCTCCTTTTGCATTCTCTCCCTCTGCCCCCTCTTCTGCTCTCTCTCTCTTTCCCTCCCTCCTACCTTTCTCCAGCGTCACTGGTAAATAAATGGACCAATCAGCATGGACTTCATGCTGCCAGCTTCTCCTTTCCTTTCTTCTCTTCCTCCCCCTCCCCTCTGCACCTTAGACAGCCTACTTCCTGTAGACAGAGTGTGATGCATTGTAGGAGACAGACTGCTGTCTAACTGGGTTAGTCGTGCGGCGTGTCTTACTGTCAGAGACACTGCTAATCCTTGTGTGTCTGTGTGTGTGTGCGAGGTCATACACACACACTACCCTGAGAGGAGGAGGCAGACGATGCAATATAGATTTTTCATATTGTGCCAATAGTGATTTGCATAAAATAAGCTTAAGAGTACCCTGGTGGTTGTATATTTAGCATAAAGCTTCTCCTACACGTTAGTGTGGGTCTCCCTCTGGGTTTAAACATTATCCACAGCCATAAGGTTAGATGTCTTTATATATGGATGTTTCCACCCCTTTTCGTTTTCTTCCCCACCCAGCTACATTAACAACATATTATTGACTTTCCCTCCCATCTCACCTGTGGCTAAGCGTGTGTGTTTGTCCTGTCCCTGTCAGGTGCTGATATGTGTACACGATGAGCGGACTGGGGGACAACTCCATGGAGCCTCTGAGCTCGGAAAACCGAAAACGCAAGCTCTCCACCTGCGACACGCCTGGTCTTGGGTGAGTAGGGGCTGGTGTTAGGCCATGGGATGGGGGTATTTGGGGATTTTCTTTTTTGGGGTTATGTAAAATAAGCATACAAATACAAATATATTTTGTCAAGTCAGATGATACATTTTTGTTCATACATTTTATGAATTAACTTCCAAATTTACATTCAAACAGGGTGTAGCCTTTTTACTGTAGCCTACTGTAGGTCAACCCTGGTTCTGAGTCAGGAGATCTCTAGTAGCCGTAATCATTCACTTTAAAAGTTTCTTAGCTACGCTACAGTTTGAAAGTATCTAGACATTAGAGTGTCTAGTTTGAGAAACAGGCGCCTCACAGGTCCTCAACTGGCAGCTTCATTAAATAGTACCCGCAAAACACCAGTCTCAACGTCAACAGTGAAGAGGTCGACTCCAGAATGCTGACCTTCTATGCAGAGTTGCAAAGAAAAAGCCATATCTCAGACTGGCCAATAAAAAGAAAATATTAAGATGGGCAGTCTGAGATATGGCTTTTTCTTTGCAACTCTGCCTAGAAGGTCAGCATTCTGGAGTCGCCTCTTCACTGTTGACGTTGAGACTCGTGTTTTGCGGGTACTATTTAATGAAGCTGCCAGTTGAGGACCTGTGAGGCGCCTGTTTCTCAAACTAGACACTCTAATGTATTTGTCCTCTTGCTCAGTTGTGCACCGGGGCCTCTCACTCCTCTTTCTATTCTGGTTAGAGCCAGTTTGCGCTGTTCTGTGAAGGGAGTAGTACACAGCGTTGTACGAGATCTTTAGTTTCTTGGCAATTTCTCGCATGGAATAGCCTTCATTTCTCAGAACAAGAATAGACTGATGAGTTTCAGAAGAAACTTATTTGTTTCTGGCCATTTTGAGCCTGTAATCGAACCCACAATTGCTGATGCTCCAGATTCTCAACTAGTCTCAAGAAGGCCAGTTTTATTGCTTCTTTAATCAGCGCAACAGTTTTCAGCTGTGCTAACATAATTGCAAAAGGGTTTTCTAATGATCAATTAGCCTTTTAAAATGATAAACTTGGATTAGCAAACACAACGTGCCATTGGAACACAGGACTGATGGTTGCTGATAATGGGCCTCTGTACGCCTATGTAGATATTCCATAAAAAATCAGCAGTTTCCAGCTACAATAGCCATTTACAACATTAACAGTGTCTACACTGTATTTCTGATCAATTTGATGTTATTTTAATGGACAAAAATATGGCTTTTCTTTCGAAAACAAGGACATTTCTAAGTGACCCCAAACTTTTCAATGGTAGTGTATGTAGAATTAATGTATACATTCATACCTGAACTAGAGAATGGTTGTAGGGTGAAAAAGCCACATGCCCCAGAATGCTTTACTATAAATAACGCAGAGACTGCTCAGATTCGCTAACCATGGACATGTAGAGACAAGTTATTTGGAAATAGGCCAACTTCCTTGAATACACTGGGTGTACCAGGTTCATATTCAGTAAGGCATGCAATGAAAAAGGGTTTAAAACATTTTGCAATGGAAAACAAAAACAAGCATTTCTTATTGGACAGTTTCAGGTAATCCCTCCCTGTTTCAGTCCATTTTCTTGTGTTTGAATGCAACCCTGATGAAACAATGGTAAATAATAATGGTGAATAGCAGTAGTAAAACACAGTGGCACCCCCTGTAGGTGTGAGCGAAGGCGGCGGGAGCAGGAGAGTAAATACATTGAGGAGCTGGCCGAACTGATCTCTGCCAATCTCAGTGACATCGACAGCTTCAACGTCAAGCCAGACAAGTGTGCTATCCTCAAGGAGACGGTGCGGCAGATCAGACAGATCAAGGAGCAGGGTGAGTAGACACACACACTGTAGCGGGGGCTAACCCATTAGTAATATCTATCACTTTATCACTGACTACACAGTACCACTGCTAGACATGGCTATCTCAGAACCAGTACTGTGGATATGTCAGAAAAAGCACCCTATTCCCTATGTAGTGCACTACTTTTGATCAGAGCCTGTGGACTGGACTAATACTAAACCCAACACCATTACTTCCATCATGTCACCCCGAAATCTGTGGCTCCCAATGTTGTTAGTGCACCTAAAGCCTTTGGAGTGTTGTTGGCCTTGATGGTAGCCTTGCAGATGTGAACATAGCACTGGAGTAGCACTGGAAAGCCAGCTGGGCTAAGAGGGAGGCAGTAAGAGCTAATAGTATAGAGCAAGTCTGTAAGAGGTCTGGAGCACTGGCTGTGTTTCTCCCCCAGAGCAGCTGAGGAGAGGAGAGGAGAGGAGAGGAGAGGAGAGGAGAGGAGAGGAGAGGAGAGGAGAGGAGAGGAGAGGAGAGGAGAGGAGAGGAGAGGAGAGGAGAGGAGAGGAGAGGAGAGGAGAGGAGAGGAGAGGAGAGGAGGATCTCAATTGCATACTCCTCGCGTCCTCTCTCCTCTCCGCGCCTCCTTCTCAAAACCCATTAGATATGGTCATTTTCACATTTTCATAAATTCTTAGAATGTTTGGGAATTACAGTTGAAGTCGGAAGTTTACATACACTTAGGTTGGAGTCATTAAAAATAATTATTCAACCACTCAACAAATTTCTTGTTAACAAACTATAGTTTTGTAAAGTCGGTTAGGACATCTACTTTGTGCATGACACAAGTAATTTTTCCAACAATTGTTTACAGACAGATTATTTCACTTATAATTCACTGTATCACAATTCCAGTGGGTCAGAAGTGTACATACACTAAGTTGACTGTGCCTTTAAACAGCTTGGAAAATTCCAGAAAATGATGTCATGGCTTTAGAAGCTTCTGATAGGCTAATTGACACCATTTGAGTCAATTGGAGGTGTACTTGTGGATGTATTTCAAGGCCTACCTTCAAACTCAGTGCCTCTTTGCTTGACATCATGGGAAAATCAAAAGAAATCAGCCAAGACCTCAGAAAATAAATTGTAGACCTTCACAAGTCTTGTTCATCCTTCGGAGCAATTTCCAAACGCCTGAAGGTACCACGTTCATCTGTACAAACAATAGTACGCAATTATAAACACCATGGGACCATGCAGCCGTCATACCGCTCAGGAAGGAGACGCGTTCTGTCTCCTAGAGATGAACGTACTTTGGTGCGAAAAGTGCAAATCAATCCCAGAACAACAGCAAAGGACCTTGTGAAGATGCTGGAGGAAACGGGTACAACAGGATCTATATCTACAGTAAAAAGAGTCCTATATCGACATAACCTGAAAGGCCGCTCAGCAAGGAAGAAGCCACTGCTCCAAAACCGCCATAAAAAAGCCAGACTACGGTTTGCAACTGCACATGGGGACAAAGATCGTACTTTTTGGATGTCCTCTGGTCTGATGAAACAAAAATAGAACTGTTTGGCCATAATGACCATCGTTATGTTTGGAAGAAAAAGGGGGTGGCTTGCAAGCCGAATAACACCATCCCAACCGTGAAGCACGGGGGTGGCAGCATCATGCTGTGGGGGTGCTTTGCTGCAGGAGGGGCTGGTGCACTTCACAAAATAGATGGCATCATGAGGAAGGAAAATTATGTGGATATATTGTCTCAAGACATCAGTCAAGAAGTTAAAGCTTTTTCGCAAATGGGTCTTTCAAGCATAATTCCAAAGTTGTGGCAAAATGGCTTAAGGACAACAATGTCAAGGTATTGGAGTGGCCATCACAAAGCTCTGACCTCAATCCTATAGAAGATTTGTGGGCAGAACTGAAAAAGCGTGTGCGAGCAAAGACGCCTACAAACCTGACTCAGTTACACCAGCTCTGTCAGGAGGAATGGGCCAACATTCACCCAACTTATTGTGGAAGGCTACCCTAAACGTTTGACCCAAGTTAAACAATTTAAAGGCAATGCTACCAAATACTAATTGAGTGTATGTAAACTTCTGACCCACTGGGAATGTGATGAAAGAAATAAAAGTTGAAATAAATCATTCTCTCTACTATCATTCTGTCATTTCACATTCTTAAAATAAAGTGGTGATCCTAACTGACCTAAGACAGGGAATTTTTACTAGGATTAAATGTCAGGAATTGTGAAAAACTGAGTTTAAATGTATTTGGCATTTATATAAGGCATTATATAAGGCATTTCTGAAAATTCTATAGTAATATAGAGTGGGAAAGTGGCCATGTGTTTGGACGATTAACAGACACTGGAGTAAAAAAAATCTGTCTTTTCCAGGACCGGAGTCTACACAGACCGGTGCGCTAAACCAATCAGAGCTTCAGTAGGCCTTTATACAAACAAGCCATTTGCCACACAGGCCTGCCATCATTCACTTTGAACTGGGCTGTGTATTTACAGGCAGTTGCAACAGCACGACTTTAGATCATTAGAATGGATTCGCCAAAAGCCACAAAATACACCAGAATGGATTTCTGCAAATATGTAAACACCACGAGAGTCCTCTTACATTTGGGAACTTTACAGTCCTATTGATCAATCAGCCATGAAAAGGTAGGCTCTCTCTCCCTCAGTTATGCACATCAACAAGATCAACAACTAATGCTAGCCAGAGCAAGATGAGCTCAAATCTTACGAAGGAACATTAGATAAACCCTCTCAAACTTTTACAGCTAGTTGGCCATCAAAATTGCACTGATAAACAATGGGGGAATTGTAGCCTCCTCGTCCTTCTGCAGCTTGGACCTGCCAATGCATGCTTGTCCCAACCAAGCACCCAAGCTAACTGGCTAAGGTTGGCAAGCTTGCTAGCTAGCTACTTCCAGACACAAATGAGAGAACACCTCACCCTAACCAGAGCTGGTTAGGCTGTTTACATGTTATCTGGAGCAGTCTTGACTAACTATTACATTTTTTGCCTACGTTTACTGACACCGGTCATATTCAGCGGGTGTTGCTCATTCGTAAATTCATCAGTTGTTGTGCTCTGAAAGCGGAGTAGATGGCCAGAGTGAATTTGCGAACACAAGAGATATACTAACTTGATAACAGTCGTTCATGTTCTTGCTAGCTTAACAAATGACACCTGTTATCTCTAGCTGTGTATAGCCACCAAAAAACTATATGAGGGGAAAAAGTCAGTCACTTGTCCACTCCTCCAATGGCATGACATGACATCCTCCTAGCAGCTAGCTAGCTATCTAGCTAACGTTAGGCTCCGTGTTTTTAGCTTGCTACATAAATAGATATGCTAGCCTATTAACCACGTTATGACTGACTTGTGATCATTGCCCTTGCTAGTTTGATTGTATTGATATTCCCAGCCTTAGTTACATTCGTCCGTTTTTCTCCAGAATATTGAGTCATTGAAACAGTGCATCCCGAATGGAGGCACCAAACAATGTACCAGGCCAGCTGTGATTTACAACCTGATAGCAATATTTTTTGGACTACCAAGAAATGTATTGGTGAATTATATTAATCATGCATTGAACTGCATCCATTTTGTAGCATAAACTGGAAATCAGATATTTTTGTCTGTTACTATGATTTTGTTTCATATCTGCAAAGTAGTTAAAACGCTGTCAGTTTCACTTTAAATTGTAGGTCACCGGTTACTTTGTGTGCGAAACATGAAATGTTTTTTGTAATGGGAAGTAATAGTTGTAAGTTTCGATTGGGAAATGGCTTAACGGTTTGTGTTTTTGTATTCTTATGATTGGGACCTACTGGCTTATTATGTCCAAGTTGATGGACTGCTTATCCTTTAAATCAATCAAATTTTATTTGTCACATGCGCCGAATACACAGGTGTAGACCATACCGTGAAATGCTTACTTACAAGCCCTTAACCAACAATGCAATTCAAGAAATAGAGTTAAGAAAATATTTACTAAATAAACTAAAGTAAAAAATAAAATAAAAAGTAACACAAGAAAATAATGAGGCTATATACAGGGGGTAAATAGTCTGGGTGGCCATTTGATTAATTGTTCAGCAGTCTTATGGCTTGGGGGTAGAAGCTGTTAAGGAGCCTTTTGGACCTAGACTTGGCACTCCGGTACCGCTTGCCATGCGGTAGCAGAGAGAACAGTCTATGACTTGGGTGACTGGAGTCTTTGAAAATATTTTGGGCCTTCATCTGACACCGCCTAGTATATAGGTCCTGGATTGCAGGAAGCTTGGCCACAGTGATGTACTGGGCCGAACGCACTACGCTCTGTAGCGCCTTATGGTCAGATGCCGAGCAGTTGCCATACCAGGCGGTGATGCAACTGGTCAGGATGCTCTCGATGGTGCAGCTGTATAACTTTTTGAGGATCTGGGGACCCATGCCAAATCTTTTCAGTCTCCTGAGGGGGAAAAGGTGTTGTCGTGCCCTCTTCACGACTTTCTTGGTGTGTTTGGACCATGATAGTTTGTTGATGATGTGGACACCAAGGAACTTGAAACTCCTGACCCGCTCCACTACAGCCCCGTCGATGTGAATGGGGGCGTTTGGCCATCCTTTTCCTGTAGTCCATGATCATCTCCTTTGTCTTGCTCACGTTGAGGGAGAGATTGTTGTCCTGGCACCACATGGCCAGGTCTCTGACCTCCTCCCTATAGGCTGTCTCATCGTTGTCAGTGATCAGGCCTACCACTGTTGTGTTTTCAGCAAACTTAATGATGGCATTGGAGTCGTGCTTGGCCACGCAGTTGTGGGTGAACAGGGAGGGGACTAAGCACTCACCCCTGAGGGGCCCCGTGTTGAGGATCAGCGTGGCAGATGTGTTGTTGCCTACCCTTACCACCTGGGGGTGCCCCGTCTGGAAATCCAGGATCCAGTTGCAGAGGGAGGCGTTTAGTCCCAGGGTCTTTAGCTTAGTGATGAGCTTTGTGGGCACTATGGTGTTGAACGCTGAGCTGTAGTCAATGAACAGCATTCTCACATAGGTGTTCCTTTTGTCCAGATGGGAAAGGGCAGTGTGTAATGCGATTGCGTCATCTGTGGATCTGTTGGGGCGGAATGCGAATTTGAGTGGGTTTAGAGTTTCTGGGATGATGGTGTTGATGTGAGCCATGACCAGCCTTTCAAAGCACTTCATGGCTACCAACGTGAGTGCTACGGGGCGGTAGTCATTTACGCAGGTTACCTTCGCTTTCTTGGGCACAGGGACTATGGTGGTCTGCTTGAAACATGTTGGTATTACAGATTCGGTCAGGGAGAGGTTGAAAATGTCAGTGAAGACACTTGCCAGTTGGTCCGCGCATGCTCTGCGTACAAATCCTGGTAATCAGTCTGGCCCCGCGGCCTTGTGAATGTTCACCTGTTTAAAGGTCTTGCTCACATCGGCTACGGAGAGCGTGATCACACAGTCGTCTGGAACAGCTGGTGCTCTCATGTAAGCTTCAGTGTTGCTTGCCTCGAAGTGAGCATAAAAGGCATTTAGCCCGTCTGGTAGGCTTGCGTCACTGGGCAGCTTGCGGCTGGGTTTCCCTTTGTTGTCCGTAATAGTTTGCAAGCCCTGCGACATCCGACGAGCTTCAGAGCCGGTGTAGTAGGATTCAATCTTAGTCCTGTATTGATGCTTTGCCTGTTTGATGGGGACATAGTGGGATTTTTATAAGCGTCCGGATTAGTGTCCCACTCCTTGAAAGCGGCAGCTCTAGCCTTTAGCTCGGTGCGGATGTTGCCTGTAATCCATGGCTTCTGGTTGGGATATGTACGTACGGTCACTGTGGGGACAACGTCGTCGATGCACTTATTGATGATGCCGGTGACTGAGGTGGTGTACTCCTCAATGCCATTGGATGAATCCCGGAACATATTCCAGTCTGTGCTAGCAAAACAGTCCTTTAGCGTAGCATCCGGGTCATCTGACCACTTCCGTTTTGAGCGAGTCACTGGTACTTCCTGCTTTAGTTTTTGCTTGAAAGCAGGAATGAGGAGGATAGAATTATGATCCGATTTGCCAAATGGAGGGTGAGCGAGAGCTTTGTATGTGTCTCTGTGTGTTGAGTAAAGGTGGTCTAGAGTTTTTTTTCCTCTGGTTGCACACCAGTCTCAACGTCAACAGTGAAGAGGCGACTCCGGGATGCTGACCTTCTAGGCAGAGTTGCAAAGAAAAAGCCATATCTCAGACTGGCCAATAAAAAGAAAAGATTAAGATGGGCAGTCTGAGATATGGCTTTTTCTTTGCAACTCTGCATGTAAATGTGATATTTCAGTTCTTTAAATTATTTTTGTAAAAACCAATTTTTCCTTTGTCATTATGGGGTATTGTGTGTAGATTGATTAGGGAAAAAAAACAATTTAATCAATTTTAGAATAAGGCTGTAACCTAACAAAATGTGGAAAAAGTTAAAGGGGTCTGAATACTTTCCGAAGGCACTGTATTTGGCCTGGCAAAGCGGTTTTATGCGCTGACTGAATGGAATCTGATAATTATGAGTTTTTTACTCCGCTGGTCTCGGGAAGAAATTACGAGTCCTCACTGTCCGAGACCGAGTCAAGACCGAGTACAGATGTATCCAACACCGAGACATGACCGAGACACTCAATATGTGGTCTCGAGACCGGTCCGAGACCGGTCTTGAGTACTACAACAATGACTATTATAGTACTTTTGAGCGGGTTTCATTCCTCCATTGGATTGGCACTGGTTGGGGGACCAGCAGGGAGTAGAAGGCTGAAGTTGGCCCTAGCAGACACTGATCTGAGGTCAGTTTAGTGTCCTAGATCTATCCGAGCCTAATGAAGTGGGTGGGAGATGGGGCAGAGACTGAGGCGGGGGGAGGTGACAGTCGGTCTCTGCCACCTCAACAGGAAGGGGAAGAGGGTACAGCTGGCGCTGACTCGCTGGAGACAGGTTGCCATAGTTACCGGAAGTGAATAATGAAGTGGCATTAGGTTTCACTTTTTACCCCTCTGTCTGTCTCTCTTTCTCTCTCTATTTGTCCTCACCCTCTCTCTCTTTCTCTTTCTTCCTCCCTTTCTCCCTCACACTCTTTCTCTCTCTTTCTCTCTCTGTCTCTTACTTTCTCTCTATCTCTTTATCTTTCTGTCAACCTCTACTCTTGTCTCTCCTCTCTCCTCCTTCCACTTCTTTCCAGCTTTCCATTTTGGCCTCATCTGTATTTCTGTCCAATAAAGTGTAGCATCCTCAGGTTGCTCCTAGCATCTTAAGATATTGTGGGAACCACTGGAGCATATCTTCCTCTCTCTCCCTCCCTCTGCCTAACCTAACCCCTCTTCTTCTCTGTTCGAACCAACAGATCTCCCTGGACGACCTTTCAGTCTCTATCTCTACCAACCCCCCGGATATCTCTCGCTCGCTCGCTCTCTCTTATCTTCGTCTCTCAGCTATCTCTCGTCCTCTCTCTCTCTCTCTCTATCTGTCTCTCTCTCTGTCTCTCTCTCGGTCGCTCTCTCTGTTTCTCTCTCTGTCTCTCTGTGCTCTATGCTTAAATCTCTATCGACTCTCTCTCTCTGTCCTCTCTCTCTCTCTCTCTTGTATCTCTCTCTGTCTCTCTCTGTCTCTCTCTCTCTCTCTGTCTCTCTCTCTCTCTCTCTCTCTCTCCCTTCAGAGCGGGGCTGGTGGCAGGCAGCAGTGGCTGTGTTTCTTTGTGTTTGCTCTCTCTCCCCCCTGGGACCTAATCAGATGGAATGATTCCTGTAGCCTGGCTCCAGACAGCCTCAGCATTAATACTGCTGCTGCCTAGTGCCTGCCTGGGTCTCTGCCTGCCTGCCTACCAACCAGTCCCTCTTGAGTCTCACGCTGAATATTAAGCATGGAGGCAGGAAGGAAGGAAGGAAGGCTGTTACCTAGTGCACACCATACACTACACTACACTGCTCTGGTCTACACCCAGCCATGGTCTGGTCTCAGCCCCATCGCTCCTTAGAGAAACCTGCATACGGATGTTGCTCACCTTAACTGGTGCTTTGTGTGGACGGAAAGATTAGAAACGCTGACCCCTGGTGGTTGTTGGAGCTCTTAGATTTGAATGTTGAGTTACACAGATCTGTGTTTAGTGTTAACGCCTTTCACAGCTCAGCTCTTCGTTCTTGAAATGTTTTCTTATTCGCACACACACTTGCACAGGAGATGTGTGTTACTTTGTACTTGTTTGTAGACTGAGGTATATATGACTGAACTCTCTCCTCCCTCCATCCAGGCAAAGCGTCCTCCAACGATGACGATGTCCAGAAGTCAGATGTGTCCTCCACGGGACAGGGGGTCATCGACAAGGACCACCTGGGACCGCTCCTGCTGCAGGTGAGGTTAAAGGTCACGACTCTCCTCTTTGATTGGCTGGCTGTACTGTCTGGCATCTTATTGGCCTGTTGTACTGACTGTTCATGTGTTCTCCCTCTGTCCTCAGGCCCTGGATGGCTTTTTATTTGTGGTGAACCGGGAGGGCAGCATAGTGTTTGTGTCTGACAACGTGACCCAGTACCTGCAGTACAAACAGGAGGAGCTCATCAACACCTCCGTCTACAACATCCTCCATGAGGACGACAGGGAAGAGTTCCACAAGAACCTGCCCAAGACCAACGGTACGACACGCTCGCACTCACGGCATACACACACACACACACACATGCGAACATACGCACACACACACACTCTCTTTGCATGTCTCTCAACATTCTGCAGTAGGAAGACAGGGTGGAGATGATAAAAGCTAGGAGATGTGGTTAGACAGACATACATTATCATAAACATATACAGACACCTACTCTTCCCTCCTTTCCTTTTCTCTCGCAGTCCCAATAATGAGCGGTTTCTCATAAACACAAAAAAAAACACACACACTGAGACCCACCTGCTCACACACCCAGAAGCACACACATACACACACAGAGCTAGTGCTAAGTAGACAGAGCGTGGCAGAGCTGTCAGTCACACTCAGTGGTCCAGACAGTGTAAAACAGGCCTGTGCTCTATTCAGATCCCATGACAGCCATCTGGAAACTACTCACTATTGAATAATGCACCCCTGCATTTCCCCAGTTTGAATTCTGTGTGTGTGTACGTGTGTACGTGTGTGTGTCTATTTATAAAGCTAATTAATTATGGATATGTGTGCTCTGCTGAACCTGCTCCCCGATTTAACTCCCCAGCAGTGTCCCTAAGCAGCGGCTCCAAAGTGTAATTGACTCTCTCTCTCTCTCTCTCGCTCTCTCTCTCTCTCTCTCTCTCTCTCTCTCTCTCTATCTCTATCTCCCACCTCTTTCTCTGTCTCGTACTCTCTGTCTTTTTCACCTACTCTCTTTTTGGTCTGTTTATATGTGTAATATAACTTACTTTGTTGAATAATGTGGTTGCTAGGACTATAGTTTATTTATTTCGCTGTCCCTTTGTCTCTTTCTTGTTAATTCGCTCCCCCATCATTACCTCCGACTCCATGAATGAAATACGCTCTCTCTGCACATTCCTGTGGGATGACCACTGATCACGCCAGCTGGGGCTTGCACACACGTGCACGCCACACAGAGACACACACACACACATTTTCTCTCACTCACACAATCCCCTGTGTGTGTCTAGGGGGCGGGATGTTTTTGGTTTCTCCTGTATGTCTGTGTTTTCTCCCTTTTCTCCTTGAGTCTACCCTTCTGCCCAGCCTCAGTGCTGGTTAATTGTGTCTGAGGGGAAATGCCGGGCCTCACGGCAAGGCTGTGTTGTCTCTGTCAGGCTGAAGAAAGGATCCTAACGGTCTAAGACTTTGTTAAATCACCATTCAGTATCAGTTAGAAACCCCCATGCCCTAGGGCCTCCCTCCCTGTCAGTGGAGGCTGGTGGGAGGAGCTATAGGAGGACGGGCTCATTGTAATGGCTGGAATGGAATCAATGCAACGGCGTCAAACGTGGTTTTCGTATGTTTGTGTTTAATACTGTTCCATTAATTCCATTCCAGCCATTACAATGAGCCCGTCCTCCTGTAGCTCCTCCCACCAGCCTCCTCTGCTCCCTGAACAGACAAACCTTACCTCTCTCCATCCACCTGCCCTGTCAGAAACAGACAGACTGGAGGCCTTGGTCCCTGATAAGACTTACCTTGGGGGAGAGTGGGGTTCCATACCTTCCTCCTTCTCGTCCTAATAACTGATCTCATATGACTGGAAAGGAGAAAGGAACCTGTGCTATTTTAATGCCTATTTAATTGTGTTTGTGTCCTTGTTAATTTCCTAGGAAAGAGAATGTAGGATGCAAGCTAAAATAATGTTCACAGTGCCTACAGTAGGATCTGTCTCTGTGAAGTTTAGTTCAACATCCCTCACCCTTCCCTGTGAAGGTGACCCTCTGGGTGGCTGTTCTCTAATGAGGAGTCAGGGCCCAAATGAGGATAGATGGCTGGGTGTCCCTGCCTACCTGGCCACTCTGCTCTCCCCCTGACCTCGGCAGCAGCACAGGGCTGGAGGGATATTGGAAATCGACACGTCGGCTACATTAATGCCATGGTCGGCTACATTAATCCCATTTAGCCAGGAATCAGAACGAGAGGGGATACTTCTGCTTGTAGATTTAAAAGGGAAAATAGTACTATAAAAATAATACTCCAGCATGCAGGGCTGGTTCATCTGTCGTATGTGTGTCCGGATATTTGAAATGTCACGATTTAAAAGATTAAAACATGAATCTTTCTTGATTGAATCTCATGTTTGTCTCTGTGCTGTGTGTTTTTGTATTCTAGTCGCTCCGGATAAGCCTGTTTTCTCATGTCATGTGTGACTCTGTCTAAGTATTTGTCAGTATACATTAGTGTGGGTCTCTCTATCCATGTTTGTTTGTACTTATACAGGTAACTGCCAAAATAAAGGAAACACCAACATAAAGTGTCTTGATAGGGCGTTGGGCCTCCACTGGCCAGAAGTTTCAATGCACCTTGGCATAGAGTCTAGAAGTGTCTGGAACTCTATTGGAGGGATGTGACACCATTTTTCCATGAGAAATTCCATTATTTGGTGTTTTGTTGATGGTGGTGGAAAATGCTGTCTCAGGTGCCGCTCCAGAATCTCCCATAATTGTTCGTTTGGGTTGAGATCTGGTGACTGAGACAGCCCATGGCATATGGTTTACATCATTTTCATGCTCATCAAACCATTCAGTGACCACTTGTGCCCTGTGATGGGGGCATTGTCATCCTATGGGGGCATAGCCATGGGGGCCAAAATAATGGCCTGCCCAGCATTTTTATACATGACCCTAAGCATGATGGGATGTTAATTGCTTAATTAGCTCAGGAATCACACCTGTGTGGAAACACCTAATTTCAATATACTTTGTATCCCTCATTTACTCAAGTGTTTCCATTATTTTGGCAGTTATCTGTTAATTTTAATACTGCAGATACATTTGAATTGACTGTATATTTTAATGTACTACATGTATATTGAGGTGTCTTCTCTCCTCCTCAGGGAATGGGGTGTCCTGGGGGGGGGAGGTGCCCCGGCAGAAGAGCCACACCTTCACCTGCCGCATGCTGGTTAAGTTTGTCCACACCCTTGGACCTGTAGAGGAGGGGCATGGAGGACCGCGCTACGAGACCATGCAATGCTTCGCCCTGACCCAGCCCAAGGCCATGATAGAAGAGGGGGAAGGTACGGACACACGGGCGCACACACAGACGCAGACACCGACACACACACACACACAGTATGATCCCAGAGTTAATGTCTGTGTATGTGTGTGTGTAGGTTAAGTCATTATTTCTCATCCTCCTCCTCAGACCTGCAGTCGTGTATGATCTGTGTGGCCCGTCGTGTGACTGCTGTGGAGAGAACAGAGAGCTTCAACACCCGACACGAGCTCTCAGGTGAGACTGACAGCAACATAGTTGACAGCAACATAGTTGACTTATCCCGCAAATCTGGTTGCATAGTTTGATTTAATAGGGCCTTGTGTGTACAAAAAGTGTACAATATCCTTTAATAGGTATATACCAGGGTTGGACTCAATTCCATTTAAATTCCATTAAATTCAGAAAGTAAACCCAATTCCAAATTGTCCTCATTGAAAAGCATTGGAAGAGAATTGGAGATGGAATTTCATTGTACTTCCTGAATTGAAATGGAATTGACCCCAAACCTGGTATATACATTTACAAAAATGTGTACGATATCCTTTAATAGGTATATACTATCCATGCTCAACAATCTCCATCTCGTCTCCTCTTCTGCCGTCCAGGTAAGCTGATCCAGATAGACCAGAACTCGCTGCGTGCGTCCATGCGTCCTGGCTGGGAGGACCTGCTGAGGCGCTGTATCCAGATGTTTCTACAGCACAGTGACGGACAGCCCTGGTCCCACAAACGCCATTACCACGAGGGTACGCCGCACACTCACCTGTACCAATACACACATCTGTTACACGCACAGTCGCACACAAATTCCTGTCCCAAAACACACATATCTGTCCCAAAACACACATGAATGGCATCACTAAGAGACATTTCTGTCATGATACCACCGACCCTATACCTCATATATATTTCACTTCCATATCTTCATATGAACCCATTGTATTGGCCCCCTCGTCCTTGGCCCACCAGCCTTCCTGCAGGGTCACGCTGAGACCCCCCTGTACCACTTCTCCCTGTCGGACGGCACCCCTGTCACAGCCCAGACCAAGAGCAAGCTCTACCGCCACCCCATGAGCAATGAACCCCAGGGCTTCATCTCCACTCACCTGCTACAGAGGTACACACACACACCTGCTGCTATGAGGTAGAAAAGAAGTTGCACACACCCTTTGCAAGAGACAGAATACACACACACAGCTGAGGTAGCTGATGCCTGCTGATATCCACAATATCCTCTCTGAGCTTAGCAGATAGATCTGATTGCTTGTACAGTGGAGAAGGCCTACATTTTTCAGTAAGAGGAAAAGGTAGAATTATTGTGCTTGACAACCACTTACAGTGGCTTGCGAAAGTATTCACCCCCCCCTTGGCATTTTTCCTATTTAGTTGCGTTACAACCTGGAATTAAAATTGATTTTTGGAGGGGGGTTTGTATCATTTGATTTACACAACATGCCTACCACTTTGAAGATGCACATTTTTTGGGGGGTGAAACAAATAGGAAATAAGACAAAAAAACAGAACTTGAGCGTGCATAACTAAAAACATCCCCACAGCATGATGCTGCCACCACCATGCTTAACTGTGGGGATGGTGTTCTCGGGGTGATGAGAGGTGTTGGGTTTGCGCCAGACATGGTGTTTTCCTTGATGGCCAAAAAGCTCAATTTTAGTTTCATCTGACCAGAGTACCTTCTTCCATATGTTTGGGGAGTCTCCCACATGGCTTTTGGCAAACACCAAAAGTGTTTGCTTATTTTTTTCTTTAAGCAATGGCTTTTTTCTGGCCACTCTTCTGTAAAGCCCAGCTCTGTGGAGTGTACGGCTTAAAGTGGTCCTATGGACAGATACTCCAATCTCCGCTGTGGAGCTTTGCAGCTCCTTCGGGGTTATCTTTCGTCTCTTTGTTGCCTCTCTGATTAATGCCCTCCTTGCCTGGTCTATGAGTTTTGGTGGGCGGACCTCTCTTGGCAGGTTTGTTGTGGTGCCATATTCTTATATTTTTTTTATAATGGATTTAATGGTGCTCCGTGGGATGTTCAAAGTTTCGGATATTTTTTTAGAACCCAACCCTGATCTGTACTTTTCCACAACTTTGTCCCTGACCTGTTTGGAGAACTCTTTGGTCTTCATGGTGCCGCTTGCTTGGTGGTGCCCCTTGCTTAGTGTTGTTGCAGACTCTGGGGCCTTTCAGAACAGGTGTGTGTGTATATATATATATATATATATATATATATATATATATATACTGAGATCATGTGACAGATCATGTGACACTTAGATTGCACACAGGTTAACTTTATTTAACTGATTATGTGACTTCTGAAGGTAATTGGTTGCACCAGATCTTATTTAGGGGCTTCATAGCAAAGGGGGTGAATACATATGCACGCACCACTTTTCCGTTATTTATTTTTTAGAATGTTTTGAAAAAAGTAGATATTTTCATTTCACTTCACCAATTTGGACTATTTTGTGTATGTCCATTACATGAAATCCAAATAAAAATCCATTTAAATTACAGGTTGTAATGCAACAAAATAGGAAAAACCCCAAGGGGGATAAGTACCTTTTCAAGGCACTGTAAGTCTCTTAGAAGTAAGGTTTACAGGGTTTAGTAGTGAATTGGAGAATGCTTCATTCTCATTGTGAATAGATAGTCTTTAAATACCTTTTTTCTGTATTTATGTCCTTCAGTTCCATCTTCTGACTATTCAAGAGACTCTTTTGCTAGACTTAATCTGTGTTTACAAGAATAAAGCGCCAAGGATGTCATGATAACCGCACTTCCCTCACATGCTCTTTTCTCCACCTTTTCCTTCTCTCCTCCTCATCCTCTCTTCCAGGGAGCAGAATGGCTATCGCTCTGCCCAGAGTGGGAGCATGATGCCAGGGCCTATGAGGCCGCAGGGCATGGGGGGCCCTAACCCCAACGCCCAGATGAACATGCCCCCTGGCGGAGGGATGGGGATGGGGGGTATGAACCGGGGCTATGGTCCCATGAATGAACAGAGCCACATGGGACAGATGGGAGGGGGCTCAATGTACGGAGGAAATGGAGGTGGAGGTGGCGGAGGCGGGGGAGGCATGGGCAACAGAATGATGCAGATGAATCAGATGAACCATATGGGCCAGATGAACCAAATGAATCAGATGGGTCATCAGATGAACCACCCGGGTCCAGGGAACCACCCAGGCATGCAGCACCCCCAGCACCCACAGCAGCCCCCCTTCCAGAGCAGTGGGGGGTACGGACTTGGGGGTATGAACAGCCCCTTGGGGAGCCCCCGGATGAGTGGCCCCCAGCAGGGGTTCCTGATGTCCCCCCGAAATCGAGGCAGCCCCAAGATGGGCGCCAGTCAGTACTCTCCTGGAGGTACGTCAATCAGGGGGTTCACTATATCTTTGCATAGTTTTGCTGTGCTTCATAAAACACAAGATCATCCATTTTAAGTTTTTGAAAAATGTTTAATGTTTTGTTGTTTGTAGAAGTGTAGTACAGTTTCTAACAGTGAATTATGTTTCTTTCACAGGCATGCACTCCCCCATGGGTCCTCATGGAGGAGGTGGTGCGGGAGGAGGTGGCACCTCCTTCTCTAGCAGCTCCCTCAACGCCCTGCAGGCCATCAGCGAGGGGGTCGGGAGCTCCCTCCCCTCGACCCTCGCCTCCACCTCCCCGGCCCACAAACCAGACAGCTCCCCCAGCATCCACTCCTCCTCTCATTCCTCCCAGCCCAGCCAGCCGGCCAAACCAGGCCCGGACGGCTCCAAAAGCCCACCTGGGCCCGGTGAGCACCACCACCCCCTCCACCATCACCACCACCACCACCCACACACCCAGGCCGAGAGCTGCGTAGACAGGTTGGACAGCCAGGCCACGGCAGGCAGCAAGGAGCCTGGAGAGGGGGCCAGTGAGGCTGGGGTGGCCAGCTCAGAACCCACCCGGAGAGTCCCAGACAGTAAGGGCCATAAGAAGCTGCTGCAGCTGCTTACCTCCCCAACTGAGGAGCTGGGGTTAGGGGGAACTGGTCCGGCCTTGCCCTCTATACCTCCCCCACCAGGCAGAAGCAACACCCCAGCAGGGTCCGACACTAAGGACCCCACAGGAGGCATGACCAGCCCTTCCTCTACCGGAGTCTCCTCCTCTTCCTCTGCCTCCACCAATCAGGGCCAGGCGTCAGGCCCAGGTGGCGCGGCTCTGGCCAATGCTCTCGCATCGGCCCACTACACGGCGTCGCTGCAGGAGAAGCACAAGATCCTCCACAAGCTGTTGCAGAACAGCAACACGCCCGACGAGGTGGCCAAGATCACGGCCGAGGCCACTGGGAAGGTGACCCTGGGAGGCCAGGAGGTCCCAGGGGAGACGGGGGCTGGGGGAGGAGGAGCAGGAGGAGTGACCGAGCCCAAGCAGGAGCAGCACAGCCCCAAGAAGGAGAAGACCCACGCGCTCCTCCACTACCTCCTCAACAAGGACGACACTAAAGAGCCAGTGGACGTGAAGCCCAAGCCTGAGGAGCTGGAAGGAAAGGGGCCCCCAGGAGCCACTGCCGGCCCCCCATCCAGAGGTCCTGGACCCACCCCTGAACACCCAGAGAGCAAGATCAAGTCAGAGCCGCCTGATGAGGTAACCACACAGTGTGGTGGTCAGATCGTTACATTACTGGTAGATTATTACAATTACATAGTATTCCTACTGATAAGTAAGATATTGATTGGGGCCCATTGGCCTTCACTGTGAACATTTTCATTGCTCTAAAGTGCTTAACCTCCGTAGGTGGTGTACGTCTGAGTGTGATACAGTGTTGTTGCTGATACATCTGTACCTATCTTTTACCAGTTGGAGAACCTGGAGTCCATCCTGGGAGGTCTGAGGGGTTCTGGCTCTGACTTCTACCCCGAGCAGGGAGGAGGAGGGGCTAACGAAGGAGGGAACAAGGCCCAGGGTTGCCTCGATGACAACCTGCAAGGTAGGACCGGTCACATTAAGCAACACACACACACAAACATTTAAAAACATTTTAGCCCTTGCCGCATAGTAACTTCCACAGAGAGTCTGGACACCAGGCTAACATGTACCTGTTCTATCTGTTTTGTCCCTCTGTGTGTGTTCAGGGAGTCCGGGGATGGCCCCTGGCCCACAAGGGCCCTTCCAGAGGGCCATGTCAGTGGACGCCAAGCCCCCCGGGGGTCCTGGAGGGGCGGGGAGGCGCCCCTTGCTCATCAAACAGGAGAATATGTTAGGCAGCCCAGATGGATACCCAGAGAACATGGGTGTGTGTCCACGAGGCATTGGAACAAGTAACTCATTTAGTTATTTCACTCTCTCATTCTGTCTCTGTCATTTATGTCCTCTGTCTTGCTCCCCCCCTCACTACCTGTCTGTGTTTCAGTCAGTGCCATTGATGCTTTGTAAGAAAAAGCTCATCTAGGTGTCTGTGTTTTGTGTCTCCCCAGGGCCGATGAACAGGGGCATGGGGGTTCCCCAGCGCTCTCCCATGGGGGGGTCAGGGGATTGGGGGATGCCCCGCTCCAGCGCCAGCCCCGTGGGCTCAGCCGGTCACCCCTCTATGATCCGCCCTGGCATGGACTACAACTCCAAAGGCATGATGGGAGGTCCCATGATGGGCAGGTCCAACAGTGTTCCTGGCACCAGATCCATGCTGCAGCAACAGCTGATGGACTTGGGTACGTGTGAATGCGTTAGTCCATCAAATGAACATGGCTGATGTAATCTCTGTGTGTCTGTCTGTGTATGCATGTGTCTATGTGTGTACTGTATGTAGTCCGTAGTATTGATTCTGAGAGATGGAATATCTGGTTAACATGTGTTGTGTTGTGTGTGCAGGATGTTCTGGTGAGATGGGGATGAGTCCGTTCAGTCAGCAGGGCCAGCCCAACCAATCTCCCTCCTGGCCTGACAGTGTGATGGGCAGGGAGGGCAACCACAACAGGTAAACTGGTCTTCCATAATAATATTTGTTCTAATATATGATTGGCAGCCAATGCTATCATGTCATACTTTTAATTGTTCTCTGGGTGTGTGTTTCAGGCGTCAGTTTGGGAACGCCCTCGACGAGCTCCTTGCTCCGCCCACCACCAGCGAGGGCCAGAGTGACGAGCGGGCACTGCTGGACCAGCTGGACTCTCTGCTCAACAACACGGATGGCATCGCCCTGGAGGAGATCGACCGAGCCCTGGGCATCCCTGACTTGGTCAGCCAGGGCCAGGGGCCAGAGCAGCACGGTGAGCCCTTCCCTGGCCAGGACCCCTCCATGGTGCTGGAGCAGAAGCCTCTGTACGGCCAGGGCTACCCCGGTCCCCCCTCCATGGCCATGCAGTCAGCCTACGGGGGGAGCCCCATGCAGGGCCAGCCCCAACAGGGGAGCTTCGGCCCCATGCTCTCCCAGATGGGCCAGGGGGGCAGCTTCGCGGGGATGGGGGCGATGGGGGGTATGGGTCACCCCCGCGCCAACATGATGAGACCCAGGATGATGAGCGCCACCAAACCCATGAGGCTCCAGCTGCAGCAGAGATTACAGGGCCAGCAGGTTAGAGACACACACACACACACACACACACACACACACACACAGATAAACGCACACAGGACATTATGTTGACAGCTTTTTCCTTCCTCCCTCCCTCAGTTTATGAGTCAGACTCGGCAGGGGATGGCCATGAAGATGGAGAACCCTGGAGCGGGCAACCCTGGCATGAGGCCGGGAATGCAGCCTGGCATGGGGGCACAGGTAGGCACTCCCCTCTCCTCCACATATATACACACACACTCACAACTTAGCTTGTTGTACATTACACACAGCCAGAACTCTAAATACCCACACACTCACTACACCCCTTCCCTGTCCCCAGCCTGGCTTCCTGAATGCCCAGATGATGGCCCAGCGTAGCAGGGAGATGGTGACCATGCAGATGAGGAGACAGAGGATGATGATGCTAATGCAGCAACAACAGCAGCAGGCAGCAGCAGCCGCCGCCGGGGGGTTCAGCCCCCCTCCCAACGTCACCGCCCCCGCTGGCATGGACACCCCCATGGGAGGCCCCAACATGGGCCAGCCGGGCCCCCAGCAGTTTGGCTACGGGGGAAACTACGGTGAGTTTGGGTTGGTTTGACCTGAAGGGCCACAGAGTGTTGCTGCTCCCTAGTGGTGGGTTTCTGTACTTGCAGTGGGACATGGAAGTGTGTGTGTGGGTGGTGTGTATGTTCCCATGCCATAGCTCATATAACATGTTCCTTCAGGCATGGCCCAGCAGGGTGACCCGTCGTTTGGCCCTGTGGGCGGCAGCCCCCCCAACACCATGATGCCAGGCCGCCTGGGTCCTCAGAATCCCATGATGCAACAGCATCCCCAGGGCGGACCCATGTACCAGAGTGCCGAGATGAAGGGCTGGTCGCAGGGAGGCATGGCCCGCAACAGGTGTGTGTGTGTGTGTGTGTGTGTGTGTGTGTCTGAGTGAGTGAGAAATAACCTAGAACAACCAGTGAACTAACTAACCCACCTCCTTCTCTCCCTGTCTCTCCAGTGTGTACCCCCAGCAGCAGTTTGCCCAACAGGGTAACCCGGGGCAGCAGCAGTTTGCCCAACAGGGTAACCCGGGGCAGCAGCAGTTTGCCCAACAGGGTAACCCGGGGCAGCAGCAGTTTGCCCAACAGGGTAACCCGGGGCAGCAGCAGTTTGCCCAACCGGGTAATCCGGGGCAGTACGGGGGCATTATGATGAACGGGGGCATGCCTGCCAACGGAGGAGGGGGCCATATGGGCCAGATGGGGATGAGCCCCATGGGGATGGGACGTATGCCGATGGGGCCTGATCAGGTACACAGCTGTTTATAGATTGTATGTGGGTGTGTGCATGAACAAACAGTAAGCATGAGTGTCGTCAATATTTATGTACACACACAGTCTCACGCACACACGGTGTCTGCACAACTAACCCCATTACCTCTGTTCCTTACAGAAATATTGCTGAACCTGAGACAGAGGCGTGTGGTGTAACAGAAACAGACTCAATGTGATCCCTTTCAGAGAGAGGAGTGCAGTGCAGTGTGTGCAGGACCAGACGTGTGTGTGTAGTATTCTACTCCCACCAGTTGGGGGTGCTGTTCCTCTGAACTCGAGGACAGTCTCACAAAACAAGACCGAGGACACACTCTATTCTACAAGCACTTACTTGAGACACGCCATGACCCACACACACACACAAAAACATTCATGTATGTAAAGCAGAGACACACTGTGACACACACACAAACTGACAGAAACACAACTGTTTAATTCCTCCATCAGTCTTTAGTGATGTAGTTTCATTAGTCCTCTCTCTGGGTTCTATGTCTCTGTACTGGACACGCCACTCGCTGGACCAAACAGACTGAAGCGGACACACACACCTAATAATGATCTGGCTCTGACAGACATGGACGGACGGACGGACGGACAGATGGACAGACATGAGAAGACATCCTCTCGTGGGACGTAACTAGCATCATGCTGTGTTCACCCCTGGGTATGGGAATTCTCTCTCTGCTTCGGAACGCTGGAGGAAGACAGAATTTCCCAATTCTGGTCCTGGAGGGCCACTGTGTATGCAGGCCTGGCATCCCATCCGGTCTCTGAATCCACTCTTAATGAATGACATAATACATAAGATGTAGTCCATTGCTGGAGAAGGTGGGAGTTGCTTGTAATCACTGACACAGGGTCAGCTATTTTCACATCCCCCTAATAGTTAAGATTAGGGACCCTGATCCTAGATCTGTGGTCATGGGCAACTTCTACCTCTATAAGCTAAATTACTATACTGATGAGCAGGCCTGTAGTCAATGAACAACTCAGAAGTAAGTCATTGATAGTCAGCATACATACACAGTGATCCTGCAGGAGACTGGGTTAAGGTATGACAGAAATAAATACTAGTTGGTTGTGATTGCACTTTACGGAAAGGCTGTCGTCAAAAGGATTGTGGCAATATTTCTTGGTCATAGAGGCCTTTACCCAAGAACGAATGCATAACAGAAAATCATGTTTTGTTTTTGTGTGTGTTGGAGGATGGGGACTATTTTGATTGGAAATGGATTACCGTGACGATCATTATTCTAAATGATTAACCAATGGAAAGGCAGTAAGCACAGATTGTTATAGTGTTAAAGTGTTATAGAACACTTTCTTCTGCAGTGTGTTGATTATGGGGTTGTTAGTGGATTAAAAAGGTTCTGATTATTAAAGTAGATCCTTATAATGTACTGACCTATTTCAGAGGGCACAATTACCCGCATATTTATACAACTATTCATAAATGTAAATGAGCATTTAAAAAAAAAGTATATTGTATTTTTGAGGAATTCGTAAGATTTACGTTCTTGGTTACCTCATGGAACACTTGATAGCAATTTTTGCCAGTTATTGAATGAGTTAATTCCTAAAGTAATCCACACACTGTGAAAGGAAGGGTTTCCCCGATTTTAGTGTACGTTTATGCAGATTTCTAGCAATAATCTTTTCTCTTGGTTCTCCTGTGAGGGCAAAGTGAAGCATAATTTACTCAAAGTCAAAGCGATGGTACTCCAATATTAGGATGCGACTCATCTCGTTTGGAATTTTTTATTTTGTCTGTGAATACAAATTGTATATACGCTTCAAATGTATTATATATATAAATATATGCTTTTGTAGGTCACATACTGTTTTTGCACAGATTGTAAGGCTTGATATTTAAAGTATAATTTTCTTATTATGTCGTAGGTCAAAACAGCTTTTATTTTCAATACTTCAACCATGGGCGAAAAGGAAGGGGCTATTTCTTTGATCAATACTGAAATACTTTGGCTCGAATTCTCTCAGAAAGCTACAACTGCCACTTGTATTCTCTTAGAATGCACTTTTATGCTGGGTTGTGGTGGTCAGTTTTACTGTATGTGGGCTTTTGAGTTAGTCTTGATCACTGCGGTTAGTTCTATTTGTGGCTTTGCTTTTTCAATAGGAAGAGTCAGCTCATATTGACTCCCTCTCTATCTGTCTGGTCTTTTAAGGTTATTTTGGGATATTTTACATGGTTTTATGTTGAACCTTGATTTTGCCTTTACTTTGTAGTATTTTCTGTGAAGCTTTGTGAGAAATCGTTTAATACATGCTCAATCCAAAGATATATATTTTTGTCATTCTGCAGTGCTTAGAAACCGGTTGTAGAAGGTGCAAGTACTCTACTCGTGTGCATTTCTTTGCTGCGTTTCTCTACATAGAATCTGTTTTTATTTTTGTGTGTATTCCCATTCATACACAACATGGAGTTAACATGGGTCTGATTTTTGCTGAAGTGATTTGAATCTTGTTTGTAATTGTTGATTTTAATTTTCTTGATTTTATCTCTTATAATGTATGGCCAGTTCAAAGTTGTGGTGCTGGAAATGGTTCTTTCATGAGATTGACCACTCAGAAAATAAGCTCTTTTAATGGCACGAACCTGAGGTAGAAGACTACCGTGTGACGATAAGAGACTATCCCATGGACTCTAAACTATTTATAATGGCTTCAATGCTGAAGATGGCTATCTATCTTTTAACACAATGGAGAATGTCTTTAAGCTGTTTTATGGAAACTTCATTACATCATGGAATAGCCTAGAGTGAATTTCTTGTTTGTCTTGATGAAGTATATAAAAAAATATTTGCCTACTGAATATTCAAAATAACTGTGCTTTTGCAACAACAAAAAAACATCCTCTTGATGTATCTATCCTTTGATTAAAATGAAAAGGGGGGGAAGAAAATATAACACATGAGGGGGGGGGTAATAATTTCAGGATGTAAATTAATGTCGCATTTTTTCTTACTTGTTTCTTGATGTTAATATTGATGTAAATACAAATTTATATTTAAACATTACATGGTGTGTGTTGTGTTTTTCATAGTAAGTGTGTTTCTAAGTTCCAAAGTAGCTTGGCCAGAGAAAAGGGAATGACAACTTGGGTTAGAGGTTAAGGCACTGGACTAGATGATGAAGAATAGGGGCACTTATCATCTGGGTACAAATTATGTCTGGAGACTGGGGGTCTGCGTGAACTAGGGACCCAGAGGTGAGAGAGTGGGAGGAGGCGAGGGGGTCTTTGATTGGGGGTTGTATGGTGTGTCAAGAGGAAGGTGGTGGGTACAGTAGGCTGGAGAGGTGCAAGCATAGGTCATTTGGAATGTGTGGTCTCCTTGCCACTGGACTACAGTGGTCATCCAACCTTTTCAAACATAAGATCAATTTGAGTCAAAATGCACACCAAGATCCTATCGCTGTGAAATGTTTAAAAACATGATCAACAAATGAAATGTCAGCCCCTTTACCCTTCTTTGGCCCATAGTTTAGCCTGCTGAAGGTAAGAACAATTGATTGAGTTGGCCTCTCCACATGCCCTTTGCCCACAGAGAGAGAGAAGGAGTGTGTGTGCATGGGAGTCATGCACCCCTACAAATCTGAGGGGGCACAAAGTACGTGAGGATGCCTGGGGGGTGGTCCGGAGGGGGCCTATATCCCCCCTGCCAGGAAGTTGGTGAATTTAGAATTTTTCTAACACCTGAAATGGCGTTTTCTTGCCATAATCATTATGCTTAATTCTATGTAAAAAATAATAATAATCTGTATCCTCCTGACTGGTGGTTCTTTTTTTAAAGGACCTAAATATGCTTCTCTGCTAAAATCTGGGTAAGATATTGTACATTCAGTACATTTGGTTTGTACTGTTTTAGTTTTTGCTTGCTTTTCTCAAGTCTACCAACCTTACCAGCAGGCATGCCAGCTGAGATAGTTAGACAAGCTAGCTACTCTAACTTGATTGATAGCCTGAAATGGCTTCTTGGTAGCTAGTTATGAGGTTGGGAGATTTTTTTGGGAGAGTTTGTTTTTTTAACAGGACAAATCGGAGGGGGCACGTGTCCCCTATGGGCATGATGCCTCTGTGTGTCAGTGGAGGCTGCTGAGGGGAGGACTGCTCATAATAATGGCTGGAACGGAGCAAATGGAATGGTCATGTGTTTGATGTATTTAATACCATTCCACTCATTCCGCTCCAGCCCGTCCTCCCCAATGAAGGTCATTCCGCTCCAGCCCGTCCTCCCCAATGAAGGTCATTCCGCTCCAGCCCGTCCTCCCCAATGAAGGTCATTCCGCTCCAGCCCGTCCTCCCCGATGAAGGTGCCACCAACCTTGTGTGTGTGTGAGAGAGAGTGTGTGGGCCCTGACAGTGAATCTCAGTAAGACAAAAATAACGGTGTTCCAAAAAAGGTCCAGTTGCCAGGACCACAAATACAAATTCCATCTAGACACTGTTGCCCCAGACCACACAAAAAACTATACCTACCTCGGCTTAAACATCAGCACCACAGGTAACTTCCACAAAGCTGTGAATGATGCAAGAAGGGCCTTCTACACCATCAAAAGGAACATACTTGTAAAAATACTTGAATCAGTTATAGAACCCCCTTTATGTTGTGAGGTCTGGGGTCTGCTCACCAGCCAAGAATTCACAAAATGGGACAAACACCAAATTGAGACTGCATGCAGAATTCTGCAGAAACATCCTCTGTATACAACGTAAAACACCAAATAATGCATGCAGAGCAGAATTAGGATGATACACGCTAATTATCAAAATACTGAAATTTGTAAATTCTACAGCCACCTAAAAGGAAGTGATTCCCAAACCTTCCAAAACAAAGCCATCACCTACAGAGAGATTAACCTAGAGAAGAGTCCCCTAAGCACGCTGGTCCTGGGGCTCTGTTCACAAACAGACCCCACAGAGCCCCAGGACAGCAACACAATTAGACCCAACCAAATCATGAGAAAACAACGAG